CAGGGCATAGTGAATCAGCAGATACCAAAGTGACCTGATTTTTATTCTGAATGATTACCTCAAATACCTTAAGGGATGTCTCTTATTTCCAGGGCAGCCTCTGGTACACCAAGTCAAGTCTGCTCCACCATCTTCCATTGGGCAGAAGACACAACAGTTTGAAAACACGTACCTATAGATTCAGGAACAGTTCCTTCCCCACTGTTATCAGACCTATAAACAGACTTCTCATATAGTCGTGTTAATCTTTCTCTGCACCTTCCCTGTAGCTGTTACACTATATTCTGCATTCTGTTCTATCACCCTGATGTACTTACGTAAGTACAATTTGTCTGCACAGCAAGCAAAACAATACTTTTCACTGTGTCTTGGCACATGACAATGATAAATCAAATCAAATCATGTCTTTTCCTCTGTTGTTTCTGTATTTTCACAGTGGCCACTGGCCATCGTCGCAAATCCCTCCAGTTTACAGTCACCAGCACACTGCACCCCGCACAGTTTCACAGTAAACCTGTTCAGCTCGTCCCTGCCTCCCTAACCTGTTCTTCTTCCCACCTATCCCCTCCTCCCACCTCAAGCCGCACCTCCATCTCCTACCGACTAACCTCATCCCGCCCCCTTGACCTGTCCGTCCTCCCTGGACTGACCAATCCCCTCCCTAACTCCCCACCTACACTCACCTTTACTGGCCCCATCCCCGCCTCTTCGACCTGTTTGTTTTCTCTCCACCTATCCTCTCCTCTATCCGCCTCCCACTCTCTCCCTATTTATTTCAGAACCCCCTTCCCCTCCCCCTTTTCTGATGAAGGGTCTAGGCCCGAAACGTCAGCCTCTCTGCTCCTATGATGCTGCTTGGCCTGCTGTGTTCATCCAGCCCTGCACCTTGTTGTCTCGGATTCTCCAGCATCTGCAGTTCCTACTATCTCATCATCTTATCCCATTTGGTCATCCCGAGGACATGCACAGTGCAGGAAACAGTGAACTAACACATGCCTTACACATGCACACATCCTCACACACACTCGCAAAGGGAAAGTGAACCAGCAGATACACTGCAATATGTTTAGCGTTGTATATTTCATATTGTAACTGCTTCAATTCTGCTCCTCTGATGCTGCTTGGCCTGCTGTGTTCATCCAGCTCTACACCTTGTTGTCTCGGATTCTCCAGCAGCTGCAGTTCCTACTATCTCTCATTGCCAATCCAGACTGGATTCACATTGTTGCTTAAGTGCGAAAACAATCTCTTTCTCCACTTTTTAGTCCCAAGTGAAACAGCACATTTTTACATTATTTGACACCAGCTTACCCATTTTCCAAATAAATTCAAATCTACCTGTAGTTTATTGCATTCAGCTTTGAAATTCATCACCTTCGTAAGTTTTGTAAATTCAGTCATAAGGCGTGTGATTCTGAGTTTCAGATTGAGTATTCAGATCAGATAAAGGTATTAAACAGTGGAGATCCTAAAACAGAAACGACTCACCAATTTACATGGGACATTACAGGAACCATTTTCCTCAGTGATAACGTGCCAGTGTTCTTTGGGATAGATTGAGTAACCGACTGCGTTCTCTGTTGAACTAAACTTTCACAACAGGATGGGCATTTGAACAGGGAAGAGGCTAAGACAAGACTGATTATGA